TAGTTGTTGATTTATTTAGATTGTAAGATGATCAGTGAACAATTATTGATGATTTTAATGCTATATTTTTCTGCTTTGCTGTACCTCTTTTAAGTTCCTATATAAAATTCCTGAAAAGGTTTAATACTCTCTGTGTTTATTGAGTCAAGTTTTGATGATGCTGATTCTTATAATTTTAGTGGGTCTACACTTTTAAGTGGTAATAAAGTTGCATATATTGCACAATTCCCAGTGAGTTTTCAATTACATAATTCACAGTGTTAACAGTAGTATGCCAACCCTCTCAGCAGTGTCTCAGAGAGGCGGTGCTGCTCTGATTGGGCTTGTTGCTCGGGTGTTATGCCATACAAAACTGGCTGGCTGCTGGAGGGAAGGATTTTTGGACAGTTTAACCATATAGTTTAATAATCAACAGTATTAATAGTATGCCAACCTTCTCAACAGTGTCTCAGAAAGTTAAAACAGGCAGTGGCAACCCAGCAGTGTTAACAAGCTGCCTGGCTGCGGATACCTCACGGTGACAACACAAGCAGCACTTTTCTGATTGGGCTTGTTGCTCGGGTGAATTCCGTACAAAACGGCTGGCTGTGTGAAGGGAGGTGGTGCTTAGAAAGTTATATCAGAAAAAGTGTTTATCTAAAATATCCAACTGTTTACTTGTTACATCATATACGCTATTCTTTAAATGTCCTATCCTTAATAACATCTTATGTCAACTGTGCAAAACAAATATGGTCTTAAGTGTCCAGTGACACAGCTTTCATTGGTTATTTCAGACAAATTTTAACACTTCCTCAAAGAGCCTGAGTGTACTGGCTTATAAAAATTTCTCAGTACAGTAACATCTGAGGGTTAAGGAGGTAGTGCCACAATAACTGGAGGTTGTTGTTATTTGGGAGGTTTTGGGGTCTTATCCTGAATTAATAACATGAAAGAGGGAGGTCTGCAGGGAACTCTATTCACAGGTTCACAGTAGTCAATTATTGAGTGAATATCTCCGTCATAGATCCTCAAGCAGTGTTTGGAGCTTTAATATGTTTCAAATATGCCACCTTAGTGTGAGAAGTTAAGCTTTATTCTTATGTCCAGGGGTTAGCATATTGTGGCCTTCATACAGGTGTCACGGTGCAAGGACACTAATCTCAGCCTCAATACTGACAAGACGAAGGAGATAATAGTGGACATGAGGAAGGAGAGGAGAACTCATCAGCCACTGTTCATCTGGGGGCTTGAAGTGGAGAGGGTGAGCAGCTTCAAATACCTGCACGCCCACATCAGTGAGGACCTTACTTGGACACTTAACACCACACAGCTGGTCAAGAAGGCCCAACAACGGCTGTACTTCCTGAGGAGGTTTGGCATGTTGCCTAGGATCCTTTGCAACTTCTACAACTGCATCATTGAGAGCATCTTGACCAGCTGCATCACTGTCTGGTATGGCAGCACTACTGCTATGGCCCGCAAGCACCTGCAGAGAGTGGTAAAGACTGCGGAGAAGATCACCAGGACTCCACTGCCCTCTCTGCAAAGCATTTACCACTGCAGGGTGCATAGGAAGGATCCTCAAGGACTCCACCCACCTCCAGCACAGACTGTTCACCTCCTTACCCTCTGGCCGGAGGTTCGGAAGTGTGAAATGCAGGACCTCTAGACTGAAAAACTCTTTCTTTCCCTCTGCCAT